CAGCCACCTTTGACCTAACCCTTACCAATGCAAGGAAGTTCAGTTTTGAGGAACGATGAAATCACAGAGCAGTCTGCTCATTTTCTGGCTCTTAACCAGCACCTCGGGCAAAAATAATAGTAGCAATAATAATAATTAATAATAATGCAGACTTGTGAGTCAAGCTGGATCACGGCCCCTGGAAGGAAAGCCACACAGGGTGTCTTGATGGGGGAAAAGGGAGAACAGAAAATGGTTCATAAGACCCAAGTAGGTACTCCATCTGCCCATGTAACACTGCCTTCTGATCCACATCAGGTCCCTTACTGAGCTCTATGCACAGGCCACAAACCATGTGAGATTCAAGTATGTCACACCCTGTCCACTCTGAAAGAGATCTGGCCCACAGTCTCCAGCTCTGCTCAGACCTCCTGGCAGGGCCACAGTGAACAACCCATTTGATGATCCAAGCAGGGGAACCCAGCTCCTTCTCCCATGGTAGCAACGAGGGACCAACATAGGAACAAAGATCCTTGTCACTAAATCCATGACATGTCCAGACCTTCCTTGTCAGTGCTGGCTTTTTTATAACCAGCAGCTTGCAGCAAATAAGAAACAAAGCCGTGAAGATGCCTGGTAACATCTGAGTCACTCTTGAGCCTAAGCACTAAGCAGAAGCAGGTAAGACACAAGGAACAGAGCTTGGCTCTAGCAGTATAAGGTTTTTCTTCAAAGCATGCTGATGTTTTTCAACAGGTCACCTGTGACAAGCACACTCAGGTGCTCTGGGGAGCAGTGCTAAAACGCAACACACGACTCAGTCCCTTACAATTCAATGATGTCAGTGCTCCAAGGAGCTTAGCAACCATACCCATGCAGCAGAGAGAGTCCTACAAGAGCAACCTTGAGACATTCAGAGATGGCATTAGGAAACAGTTACCCAGGGAAGGAACTGGAACAGCATGCAGGCATCTCAGACTTGATGATATTAAGGGTCTTTTCCAACCTAAACAATTCTGTGATCTCAGATGACTAAAATCAGCAATGCACTCAATCCAACTGGAAAGAGATAGGGCAGCCACTTGTAAAACAAGAGTGTTTTACCTTCCCTTCATGCTATACAAAACTGAAAACCACACAAAGCCTAACTGCAACAGGAGTAGAGAAGTGCTGGAAAAGGAAATCTGTACCGATGTATCCATCCCTGTCCTTGGGATAACACAAGCACACTTAGAGACCTCAGAAACTACCTCAAGCATATAAAAGCCTAAGGAGACAATGCACATCAGTAACTACTCAGTCCCCTGTGGAAAAGCAAGTGGCCAGGGAAGAGGGTGAGGGATCTCATTCATTTGGTTTCCAATGAACTTCTGCCATCAGCCAGGTCCTGCAAAGCTGTGAACAGGTGAAGGCGCTAACCTGCTCTCACCTCCCTGAGAGCAGGATCAAGCACATCTGGTAGGCAGAGGCTCCCTGCAGGGCTTCTAAAAGAGTTGGGCATTTGGTTAAAGGGTAAGATATCTGTCTAAAGATAAGCTGGCAACAGAGAGGAGAAAGGAGGATGTCTTGTTTTAGCTCCTTGATGGATGGTTAAGGGAGGCAAGCATCAACAGTGGGGCTTTTTAAATAGAGAATGCATTTCTAGTTTGGGATCACTTCATATCTAAACCAGAAATCACAATTTCAGACTAAAAGCCAGTGAAGCCACCCCATAAAGAGATGAAACTTCAACAACCTAGAGAAGAGACTTTCAGACTGTTTAAAACTTAGCAGGGGCCGGAAAAGGGATTTGGATTTTGTTACCAGCTTTTTCTCTTCACAATGATTAACTGACACCTTCAACCATTAACTGCAACATCTTAATCCACCCAGCTTCACCACAGCATTGCTCAGGCAGTGTATGACCCCTGTTGCATCAAGGGTCTTTCCAACAAATCCAGACTTCACCTTCCTGACATTGTTCTTGTCAAAAGAAAAAGGAAGGGGGGAAAGCAAGGCGATTTAACATTTTTTAAGTATTATCAAACATAAATCAATTTTTAAAAGACCATTGGTGTGAAGAAAGAACAGGAAATTAATTTGGAAAGTCAAAAGCTGTAAGAGCACCAGGAGCTTATATTACTGATATCCCATATAAGAGGCATGTGGTTATGGATCCAGCCTTCTGTTTATCCTTTCACATGCTGCCATCCAGGGTGCCCAGCCAACTGGGTGGCCTTGTGCTGCTGACAGAGTGGAGGCAGTGAAGATTCCTTCCCTAGTAGTGATTTCCAAGGGGAATGGGGAAGAGAGCTGGCTGGGCTCCTATCAAATAGTGCTGGATCCAAGATTTTAATCTCTTCCCATGTGCAAAGCACTACAAATCTTCCAGTGAGGTATTAATCTCTTTAGAAGTTTCACACACCACGATCATGGCAGAGGATATGCAAAGCCATATTCTTTCTTCTACTTTCTTGAGCCAAGGCCACATAAGCAATGCTGAGATCATGAAAGACATCTGCTCCTGGCATCTAGGCCAAGTAATGCCAGGGCTTATGCGCTGGCTCATATTTAGCCCCTCTTCACATGCCCACAATACCTAAGACATGCCTTCATCTCTCCAGGCTCCACTACTGCCTTGAAAGATCACAATTAAAAGGAAAGGGAGTCACATTAAAATGCCTGCAATACCTGTGTCACCATCCACCAGAGAAACATATCATCAATCGGATGCCAAGGCATGCGTTACATGGCCTTGAGGCATGGCATGATGGGGGTTTATGGATGTTGGAGGTAGAAAGGCTTTCTGATATTACAAAGCCACATAAGGCAGAGCGCACCAGCCTTTACGCTCTCACAAACTATCTGCTAGCAATGGAGAGAACTAAATCCCAAGTCAGGTTTATCTTCATTTCAGAAGAAAATAGTTGTTTCATGTTAAAGAAGAGCACAGAACCAAACTAACAACGCTCAATGGATCACACCCAGGGAATTAAATTCTTTGACAGCACAAGTCCACCCTCTGAGAGTTACTCTACCACAGCCAGATGAAAGGCAAAGGCTGCAGCACATTGCAAACTGCAATCTAGGAAACGGAAAGTGCCCAAGGCTTTTGGACCTGTGGGCTAATTCACTCATCTAAAAGAAACAGATTCACAAGGACATGGATGACTATCATTTTTAACTGAATTACTCCAATGCTTATTTGTGAACCAAGACCCTGTTGTGCCGAATACTGTACAGCCAGAGACGGAGTGGGACAAAAGGCAGACACAACACTAATCACCAATTTATGATATTTTTGGCTAAGAACTGGACACACAAGGACATGGAACTGTTGTGCAGAAGACAGCATTAGAAAAGGTGCTTGGAGAGAAAGGTGAAGAGGAAGAAGTAGATTTTCCACTAGAAATGTTAAAGAGAGCTTCTTGGAACAATTTAGGCTACTGTCATTAAAATGCAATGACAGTCATCATCAAGGAAATACAGATTATGTTTCTGCATGCAAGCACAGAAAATATTTCCTTTCAAAACTGTAAATACAAGATTTAAATCCTTGTTTTCCAGTTATTTTCCAACAAATAAGCAATCAACAACATCAATTTCTTTTGGTGATAAGGAAGGTATCCCTACCAGCTCTTTTGTATATCTCTGTGCTTGGCAGATGTATCTCTCTGATGCTGAACTGCAGCCACCTTTCAGGTGAGAGAACAGCCTGGGGTGGTGCCAGCCACAATTCACATCAGCAGCTTGCAAAGGCTAAAGCAGCCTGGAAGCAGTGAATGAGCAATAAGTATACTGAATGCACAGGTCCAGCTGGCAGCCTGAGAGGACACTAAAGACCTAAGACTTAAGACACTTAAGACCTAAAACTTCCACTCCTCTGAACCGGGCACCAGATGCTTAATTCTAAGGGAGATGAAAGCTTCAGCTTTACATCTACAAATCAGCATCTCAGCAACACAGTGCCCTCTAGCCTTGAACAGCGTTGTAGTGTAAGCTCTAGAGGAAAAAGCCCAGTGATATGAAGTACTAATGCAAAGCTTTATGTCCAGTCTTCAGCCTTATCTTTCAAGCAGGCTCTGAAGAAACCTGGCAGACGCGCAATGCCAGGAAACACAGTATACTCAGAGAGATTTTGCACCAGCCACAACACCCTGTCAGGCTTTACCTTACCAAAGCTAGATAATTTACTGTCCCTAAACACAAAATCCAGTCTTCCATGTACTAAAACGCAAATTGTATTTTGAGGAAAGAGTTAAAGAATTTAGCGTAACTAAAACCCAGAAACGAAACATACCCTCACTGCTTATGCAGATAGGCAAAAGCTACTCCACCGTATGCTGCAAACTCCTGCAGACAAAGACACTTCTACATGACACCCTGCAATACTGGAGTCTGGGAAGGCTGTTAAAAATCCTCTTACTGCTATTGGCAGTAAGGTGTGAAAGGAGCAAGGCAAAACAGAGATGAAAGAGATCCCAAAAGCTGAGTCTGACTTGATAACCATGCAAACCGGCTCTCCCCTCAAAATCTGTCTTAATGTAACTTATAGGAGAAAACTAGGGAAGAAGCATTTAGCACCTCCGGCTCACTGACCCCATAAACTGCAGAGCCTTGCTCCGCTCCCCACGGGGCACACTGCAGTGCTACGGCCAGGCAAACCGGGGAGCCGAGAGACCTGTCCCATCCTGCGCTGGGTCCTGCCGAGCAAGGAGGGAAGATCTCCCTTCAGAAGGGAGGGGAGCTTCAAAATGACACCACCATAAAAACCCAACCGCCGAACGGGATGAAGAAGGACAAGGAAAGAGAGCTGCATTTCCACGGCAGCCCGGAGCCCCGCGGCCGCCTCACCCACGGGGACAAATGGGCTGGGGGGCTACAACGGCGGCGGGTGCCTCGCCAAGGTCCGGTCGGGGACGGCTCCGCGGTGCGGGCACCGCTCCGCGCCCGTCCCCATCCCGTCCCTGCCCGCCTCCCGCACACGTGCGCCGCGCCCGGCTGCGGAACCGGGGGCTCTGCGGGGCCCCAGCGCCACTCACGTAGTGCTTCGAGGGGTTCCTCCGCTTCTCCACGTCCACCACGTTGGCGTCCAGCACGCTGTAGGACAGCATCTTCGCGCACCCCGCGGCGCGGCTCCGCCGCTGGCAGCACCCTCCGCCGCGCTGCCCGCCGCGGCGATGCCGGCCGGCGCGCCGGGCGGCCGGGAGGGAGGGAGGGAGGATGCCCCGGTGCCGGCCCCGCCCCGTGCCGCCGCAGTGGCTCCCCCCTCTCTCGGCGGCGGCTCCGCTCCCCGGCCGCTGCCTCAGGCTGCGCGGGCAGGGCGGCGGTGAGGGGCAGGGCCCGGCCGCAGGACCCGCCCCCGGGGGGCGCCGGCGGGACGGGCCGTGAGGGGAGCGGGAGCCACCGCCCCCGTGTGGCTGGGGGCGCGGCCTGCCCGCAGACGGCGCCTCCCCGCCGGGACCCCCGGCACGGCCGCAGGGAGAGCCCTGGGGAGGACGCAGCACAGGGCAGCGAAACGGGAGGGTGCTCCAGGGGCCTCCAGCGCTGCAGTGTCCAAGATGCCCTGCCCGAGGGGATGGACAGGGTCAGAAAGAGAGCGGGGCTGAGCGCGCAGCCCGCCAGGCTCCAGCTGGCAGCTCGAGGCTGGCCACTGCTTGGAGAGATCCACACTGCCCTGGCCACGGGGCCGCAGGAGGAACAAAGCTGGAGGAAGGTCACACAGGCTCGTGCCAGTGGAACCATTCATGAGTGATAACCCCAATTCATCTATTCACATACAGATAGATACACGTGCATCATCTTCCCCAGTCCCACTTCAAGAAGAGTTTGCCCTAGAGAGTTCAGTTTTGTTGTGTTGGGTTTTTTCCCAATAATGCATCATTACTTTCGATACGGTTATTTGGAAGTTACATCAGAAGCAAAAACCTACGTGTGATATTCCAGCCTTCAGCTTGTTTCAAGATATTCATTAGCTATTCATCAAATTAAATGAAGTTGCCAAGATCTCTCATTCCTCTGAAGCTCTTCAGCAGCAGCCCATGCAGAGTTTCCACTAAGCTTCCAGAGTGCTGCTGACAGCTCTGGACCTGCTAGTGCAGGAGCACAGAAAGGTCCCAGCTCCTGGCAAGAAAAGCCCCATGTCTACTGTGAGGATGGTTGGTCGCAATCTGATTTCATTACAGGCACAGCTTCTGAATCAGAACTTTTACAAGCACTATTGGCCCTGCAACAACGAGCATGAGAGAGACACCAGAGTCACAAAGCTTTAGATCCTTGAGCCCAGAGGCTGACATCTGAAAGTGGTTGGTTTCAAACCATAGCTGCTTTCCACACACAGCCTAAAAAACAGAAGGAAAACCAGCAGCAGCCTCACCAGCACAAAGGCAAACCGGGGAGCCGAGAGACCTGTCCTATCCTGAGCTAGGTCCTGCCAAGACAGGAAGGAAGATCCCCCTTCAGAAAGGAGAGGAACTTCAAAATGATAACATCATAAATAACTGCAGGCATAACTGCCTGCTGCCAGGTGGGAAGCAGGTACCTGCTGCGTAACGCCAGGGATGTATATGCTCCAAGGCAGCCTTCTCCTCGCTGCTCAGCTTGCTACAACACACAAAACTAGTAAAGTGACATAAAATGCTGAACTCCTGGTGTCCAACCGTGGGATGTGCTCAGGTATACGTGCAACAGACTTTTGGTAATGGGGAGGGTGACAGAAGGGGAAAAGCTGATGTGCCCACCTCTGTGGTCACTTTTCAGGCTTTTCTTTTCTTCTTTGGAGCACCTTCTTTCCTCCTCTTGAGAGACTTCCCACCCTAACCTAACCCTCCTGCATGACACAAGGCAGTGGAGCAATTATTTACATTAGAAACTTTTACTGTTTAGACTGGCCAAGAAGTCTCTGGTGTGCGGAGGAACCAAAGAAGATTCCTCCTTGAAAATGTAAATATTCAAATAACCCATTGATAAAATATGCCTGGCATGGCCAGTGGTCTTGGATGCCTCTTCCCCGTGAGCCGTTATCAATAGGCATCACCCATTCCATCCCTTTCTGCTATCACCCTGACCAAAAAAAAAGAATAAAGGGTCCTGTCCATCATTAAAAACACTCAGGGTTTGTTTTAAATCAGCTTTCAAAACATGTCATTGTGAGCGAAAGAGAGCAAATACATCATTCTCCACACACCCTGCCCCATCCTTCCTGACATTCTTACTAATTGGCACCTTTTTATCAGTGGTGCTCTCATCTGCTCTCCTAAGGAAGGAGCTGCTATTTTCAGTGGAACCTGAGCCTGAGGCACTGGGCTTTGTGCTCCCTTGGTGCCCACCCCATACTTCGACATCTGCTCCATGGTTTACCTTTCCTCTATTCAGAATAACTCAATTCTCCGCCACGCCAGGTGACTTTCTCCAGCTGTGAAGCCCTTGTACAGCTCTGGTTCCCCCCCTCCTCCTCCTCCATCATCTGACGGTTTTGTGCTCATCGCCGCCTTATGCTCTCATTGTTTGTTTGCTGCATCCCTCCATCTACATAGGAAAAACATATGTTGCTAGGGGCATGGATTGTTCTTTTAAAATGTGTACAACACCCAGTCTAGTGGGAGTCCAACCCCAGACTATTGCAAGACTGACAGAAACATAACTGAAACCCCTTATTATGCTGCAGGCTTGGGAAAATCTGCTCCTCTTTTAGGCAGCAGCTGGAAAAATGAAGCTGACAGCGCTTCGCAGCCTTGTGCTGGAGAGCCAGGCTCCGGCTGCTGGAGCTGAATGAAAGACAGCCTGAGTACACAGAGAAGAGCACAGCAGGCTTGGGTCTGTGACCGACCCCACATGCCCAAGAGCCTGTACCTGACAAGGACCATGAAGACATGGGTAGAGGCACTATGAATCTGTAGGAAACTAACTGTAGGGATTTAAGTCCTGAATCTCCCAGTATTTATACCTTTCTCTTCAAGTGTCTATTACTGAAGTCCTGCCATTACATGGTAAAATCACTGCCATTATTATCAAATTTAATACATATCTTAGCATCAATATTAAAGCTGATTTAATAATTCACCTTTACGGACTTCTGATGAAATTCACCTGTGGAACACCCTGGGAAATTCAGATTTCTGATGAAACCAGCTATTTCAAAAAGCTTTTTTTTGTCTACTTATTTGCTAAGTGGGTTATTTGGGCAAAAAGGGTTCAGGTAATCACATTAGCCTCACAGATCCACTACAGCTATAGCCCAGCCACCCAGCCTGTGCTACAATTACGGCAAAAGCTGATGCGTGACAGAATGTGTGCACAGTGGTCTCAGAGCTGGAGCATGACTTGAGTTTTCATATTTCATGAGGATTTTTTCATGCTGCAAATGTTTTGTAAATAAGCATTTGGGTTGTAAATTGAAAACACTTGGGTCACAAAATCAGTGAGAAAATAAAACAAAGGACAGGCTTTTCTGTGCTCCGTTAAGGCCACTTCTAATGCTTATTAATTCAGTGTATATCAACACAGATAAGTAACCCCCTATGAATATTAACCATCCTATGGTCTAACAGCCCTGGCTGTTGTGACTGAAGCTGTTGTGGAAGGTGAGGTTTATTGCTTATCTATGATTTTCTCTTTCTGGCTGGGCAGCCAGGTTGAACACAATGTTTTCCTGTCCCACTAGCCAGGAGAGGCTCTAACGGTGCTCAGCACCTGGAGGGGAAGCAAAGTGCCTCATAGGCTCAGCCCAGTCCTGTGGGGGAAGCAGCAGTGCTGCAGTGCTGTGCATGACAGATTAGCCACACAACTCATTACTGGCGACTAGAGTTGCATGCATAATCTACTAGACATGGTACTAGAGATGTGCCCCTTAGGGTTTTTTTTGGCTCTGATGTGCAACACCACAACACAGAGCCTTTGTTACACTCCCATCTCAGTGCCTGTACTTACAAAACCTCAGCTTCTTAAAAGGGCTGCTTTCCATGCAGTCCTGCCACTTCAGGGTTTCAATGTACATGTCTTTTGATAGGAGTGACAAGAATAGTAGAGTCTGTCTGGCATTCAAATCTCAAACTCCGAAACACAAAGCACGATGCAATCTTCTTCTCCTATGTTTTAAAAGCCAATTGCATTTCATCTTCTTGAGAGATTTCTGCTTTTCAAATGAAATTCACTCTGGAGATAAATAGGCCCAGTTTATGGAAAAGGAAGTTGAAGAAACCAGCTGCAGTCCTGGCAGAGCAGCCCCCCCAGCACAGTAGTGTGCCCCTTTCCCCCCAGCCTTATCATCAGAGTGCTGTGGTAGCAGCCCCTATGTGCAATTCAGGATAATGGGAAAAGGAAAATAATTGCTCCCCCTGATAGAACTGTACATGCTTTCCCAATGGCATAACAGCTTTCACTTACATTATGAAAGAGCTGCTTTACCCTCATGACTTAAATTATAGATTATCTCCTTCTTGAAGCAGCTATCTTACAATTTAACACTTTCATGACTAATGTTACTTTTCAGTCCTCCCTTACCAATTGTGGATGAAGGATTTCCAACCTCAGTATGTGAGCTGCACTCTCTGTTTAAGGTAGTAGCAGCAAATTGCAGACTGTTTTTCATCCGCATGCACCTTGTATTTTTCCATTGTCATGAAGGCTTCGTAGATTTCCATTGACATGGTTAAAATAACGAAACAAAGCAAGCCCAAACCACACTTGTCTTTACGTGTTATATACATGCCAGGCTTACGTTTGAGACTGCTGAAGTTTACCAAACTGATCACAGGTTTGAATTGGGATTCCCAGGTTTCTTCTTGGATGCTATCCCTGACTTCAGATGTTCTCACAGTTCTCAAAACAGCACATTTTGAGACTGGCTTCTGCCTCACCCTCTGCAAAAAACCACTTGGCAATCCATTAGTGAAAATGCAGGCTTGTTACAAATAAAGTCAGTCTAGGAAGAAGCAGTCTGTCTTCATGTTCTCTCCCATGTTACCTCTAAGTACATACTTGGACACCAAGACCTCAGTATTAACAGATCTAAATTTTCCACCAAGCCCTTTTAAAACTTGAATTTCCTTGTTCACTGTTTTTACTTATTCAACCCATTCTGAAAGCTAGCAGTAATTTTATTTGGCTGCACATCCCCTAGAGAAGGTAGAAGAGTTTATCTGCCAATATCCAAACCAGAAAACATTTGACTGATGGACTGTGAATTATAAGAATGC